CAAGTTCCCAACCACACACCCCCATTAATACACCAATTCCACACACATTCCACATCCCACGCACACCATAGAAGTTTCCAAAACCACATTCCCAGATCCCCACTCCAATTTCCCCGTCATTCGCAGAGCATTCCACACATCCAATACCAATAAATACACACTCCACCCTCCATGATCGGGTCCACATGAGGTGCTAGCATTATTTCCATAGATTGGGATCCCGACAAACACGTCCTTATTCACCCAGTAAAATGGTCGCGAAACAATGTACCAGTAAATCCTGGGGATACGCTCTCCACTACAGTCCGAAATGTCCGCGTACAATCCACGCTAATTCCACGTCCATTACCAGAAAGTTGTCCTATATCTCCACCTAATAAGATGTAACCATCCATCCTAACCGATTTCCACGATCCCATTCACACATATCCATTCCAAAACATTATCCACCGCGATCCTTCAAGACAACAGTACTCCACCATATTGTCCACCCCTCCCAAGTTCCACAGACATTACCTCCTAAAGCAACCCGATCCAGTCCAAAATCCAATTATCCCGACAAATCCACAACACCATTCCAACCCCCGTTCCATGGGAGTTGCCCAGTCCACGGGTGACAGACACGAATGGAAAGAAATTTCTGTGGCACTCCAGACGACTGTATTGTTCTGCGAGTTTTAATGAGTGGCCCCTCAGGTTTGTATTGCTGCTGAGTTGCAGTAAAGGGCGGCACACATGATGTGGGTCTCGCAGAATCAAGTATGCCATAATCAGGTCACCTCGTATTCGGCGATAGCTTCCACTGAACAACCCCAGTCGTTGCAGCCTCTCCTGGTAGGAAAGACTGCGCATTCCAATTACATTTTTAGATGCCCGACGTTGTGGCTGCTCCGGTGCATTAAGGTCGTGTTTCAGCCATGGATAGTAGGACCTTGATCTGTACTGAGGAAAGTTTTTGTACTATGTTAAGCATGTAGTCAACAAAACTTCAAGGTTCCACACCGGTTTCTATTCTTGCTCCCTTTCAGTGTTACAATAGGCGTTTCGCTTATGTTTACCAAATGTTCCGAGCATTCATTCATCCTGAATAGGGATCAAATGTTAGCATTTGTCGCCCATTTTGTGATCCAGTTTAACCACAGCTGTGCTTCTCCAGCATCATGATGTGTGGCGCGCAGTTCTTGATTGGTCGTACCGTATGCACTACACCTGAGAGCAAACACTTTAGCGTTCATCCCCATGCGATGTACTGATTAGCCTATTTACGGGATAACGGGATGCGTCAGTAAAAACTCTTAGCAATTCCGCATCTTTAATTGGTCAGTATGCAGTGTATATTTCACACATGCAGGTTAACTACGCAATCTATTAAAAGACAGCCATTAGTAGTTCCGTGAACATTTGTCTGCATCAATCTTATAAAAGAAGCAGTCTCTGCAATGCATGCTGCCCATGACGACCGACTTTTTGGGGTTAACACTTGTCGTTCCTCAATTCTGTGCGAGAGAGTTGCTAATAGCGGGGAATACAGTACAGCCAAGTGTGTACTGTATACTCATTGAACTGCGCAGCTCTATAGCGTGAAGCATACAGATTTTTGCAAGAACATTTAAAGCAGAATTTTCAGTAATCAAATGTGTGCTCTTACAAACGCTCTAAATAGCTAGGGGGGGGGGGCTGTCGCAATATTGGTTTATCATCTGCCTTTTCGTTCCTAATCAAATGCAGAATGGCTATCGTTACAAAGCAAAAATTAAAATCATATATATATATATATATATATATATCATCATCAACAGCAGTGCATCAGCCATTTGAACTGATGCTTCGCTGCCATACAACCATGAGGACCTATGAAATAAAGAATAAGAAGAGGGCGAGAAAGGGGGACTTACCTGAAAATCTTAATGCCCTAAGCAAACATTCTGGGTCAAGGCGCCTACACCTTGTGTAAACAACATACCGTCACAAACAGCTGGCTATCGTGCAAAGATAAGGCAGCATGGGCGAGACAGCTTCCTTGCCGCTTTCACTGCCACGCGTCATAATCAGTTATTACCCCGCAGATAACTCAGCACCAAACACACTTTAAACAGACAATCCGATTAGGAGACGGCAGCAGACGCGCCACTGGTGTCGGTTGCGAGCCATGTCCTGTAAAGTCTCGAGCCAAGCACAAGGTGAGTCACGTGGACTCCAACCCGGAAGGCGAGACGGACCAACGGCACCCAGTTTAGTCGTCAGTGACTTCATTTCCCGCTGCCAAGTCAACTTCTGTCCACCTCGAGCCTTGCGCCATCCTGACACCTGGTAGACTGAACAAGGCCCTCCTAGGTAAGCGGTGACCAGGCATGCGTAGCACGTGCCCGAGCCAACGCAACTTATTCAGTGCTATCTGTTGTTCTAGGGAGCTAGCATGATTATCACCACCTAGTACTCGCCTACGCACATCATCGTTGCGGACACGCTGGTGCCATCCGACACCAGCAATGCTTCGCAAACAACGATGATCAAAGACTTGAAGGCGCCTCAGATCTTCAGACCGAAGGGGCCAAGTTTCACTACCATAGAGCAGAACGGCCCTCACTGTGGCCTTGTATACACGGCCTTTCAGACGGAGGGAAACTCCCTTCTGTCGCCAAAGATGACGCAGGTTCAAGAAGGAAGCTCTGGCCTTTGCAATGCGTGAGCTCACGTCAGTTTCTATGCGCCCATCATTGCTGATGCAGCTGCCAAGATAAGTGAAATGATCAACCACCTCGAGTTCCTCGTTAGCAAGCGTCAAGGGGTCATCAAGTGGCTGGTGGTCCTGCAGCAACACTTTGCACTTTGAAGGTGCGAAGTGCATACCAAATAATGGGACCACTCTGGACAGGCTATTCAGGGTTGATTGTGCCGCCTCAACATCGTCGAAAAGCAAGACGATATCGTCCGCATAATCTAGATCAACTAACCTTTCACCAGGCAGCACTTCAACGCCTACATCATGAGATTCCGCAAGGGAACACTCCATGATAGAATCCACGACGAAATTGAACAAAAATGGGGAAATCGGACAACCCTGACGAACGCCACTTGTAGTCGAAAAGCTATCCGATAGGACACCATAGACCCTGACGCGGCCTGTAGTGTTCGAGTATAGAGCACGAAGGATGTTCACATATTTCGTGGGAACACCTTTCCGCGCAAGTAATTCGAACAGAATCGATCGATCGACTGAATCGAACGCACTCTTGAAATCGAGGAACACAGCTATTGTCGGTCTGCGGTATGCGTGGCGCTGCTCTAGCACCTGCCGCAAAGTAAATATATGGTCTATACAGCCACGTCCTGGGCGAAAACCGGCCTGCTCTTCCCTAATCCGAGATTCCCGTTCAGCAGTGAGGCGACGAACGATAATCGAGGCCAGTAATTTTGTCACAACTGGCGTTAGGCTAATACCCCTGTGGTTCGCACAGTCTGTGCGACTGCCCTTCTTGTATATTGCCACTATAATCGATTCGCTCCAATTAGCCGGCACACTCTCTTCGTTCCAGATACGTTCGAATAGGGAGGTCAGTGCCCTGCAGAGGACCTCACCTCCATCCTTAAATAGTGCAGGTGGTAGGGAATCCGGGCCAGCGGCACGAAAACGATTGAGGGCTGTGATCGCGTTTCGGACCTCGGCCTCCGACGGAGGCTCTAAACTAACCGTCCATGGCACGTCCTGCATCACCTGAGTAGGAAGAGGTCCGGGAGCAGGGGGCCAGCTGAACTGATCTTCAAAGTGTTCAGCCCAACGAGCCATACGGCGCTCCTTATTGTGTATCAGCGCACCCGCGCTGTCTCTGATTGTCTCACTGACGCCTGGTTTTCTGGGACCAGTGGTGCGGATTAGCTGGAAGAGCTTGCGGTAATTGCCTACTGCTCCTGCCTCCTCCATTTCTTGAGCCCGACTGGTCCACCAGGCTTCCTTGTCAGCACGTAGGCTCCGCTTTAGTTCACGCCTAATAGCCCGTCTGGTCACATTGTGTTCAGAACCAGCCGGGAGGTGCCTTCTAGCTTCCAACAGGTTCACGGACCTCTCGGATATCCAGTGACTGGTGCGGTGACGACTGATAGTGCCACAAACAGATGCTCCTGCGTCGTGCATGGCGGCCGAGATCCTATTCCACTGAAGTTCAGTGTCATTAGGACAAGACAGCGAGAGTTCGCTATGCAGTGCTTCTTGATAGGCTTGCCTGACGGAGGGCTGGGACAATTTCTCCGTTGCCAATCGGGGGAGACGCTTTGTGCGCCTTCCGGTAAAGTTCATGGAGAAACGACAGCGCACCAAGGCATGATCAGAGTCGACACAGGTACTCCAGTACGAGCGGCAATCCAGGATGGAACCGCGCCACCTGTAACTTATGGTTATGTGGTCAATTTGGGTCCATCGCTGGCCAGCTACAGGTGGACGCCAAGTGGCACTTCGGCGCCCACTGTGTCTAAAAGCAGTGCTAGTAAGAAACAACTGATGCTCCGCACACAGTTGCAGCAGACGCTCGCCGTTGTCAGTCCGTTCGGAGTTAAGTCCATACTTACCACTCAGCTGAGCTTCTGAAGAGCTCAGACGCCCTACTTGTGCGTTCATATCCCCTGCAAGTACTATAATATCTGAACTAGTAGCACTGCGTAGTAGCGCGTTCAGTTCGTGATAGAAGTGTCCTTGACTGCATTAGAACTGCAGTCGGTGGGAGCATAAACGGAAATCACAAACAAACAGCGTTTTGTTTTACTTCGCGAATTCACCTTAGCTGATGTCGTCAAACGGGCTGCACATAAACGGCTGTTCACCGGAATCCAATCAACCAACGATGACTCAGCCTTGGAGCTGAGAATGATACCTACACCAGCTTGTGTTTGCCTGTGAAGGAGTGTAGGCCGGCTCCTTTGATGAAGCGTGGATCCCATCCACATGCCTCCTGGTTTTATTTCTTCGCGCTTAAACTAGATATGAGGGTGTGTGTTGGAGCCTGTTGATGGGGGGGGGGGGGGGGGGGGGGGGGGGGGGGGGGGGGGGGGGGGGGGGGGGGGGGGGGGGGGGGGGGGGGGGGTGGGGGGGGGGGGGGGGGGGGGGGGGGGGTGGGGGGGGGGGGGGGGGGGGGGGGGAGGGGGGGGGGGGGGGGGGGGGGGGGGGGGGGGGAGGGGGGGGGGTGGGGGGGGAGGGGGGGGGGGGGGGGGGGGGGGGGGGAGGGGGGGGGGGGGGGGGGGGGGGGGGGGGGGGGGGGGGGGGGGGGGGGGGGGGTGGGGGGGGGGGGGGGGGGGGGGGGGGGGGGGGGGGGGGGGGGGGGGGGGGGGGGGGGGGTGGGGGTGGGGGGGGGGAGGGGGGGGGGGGGGTGGGGGGGGGGGGGGGGGGGGGGGGGGGGGGAGGGGGGGGGGGGGGGGGGGGGGGGTGGGGGGGGGGGGGGGGGGGGGGGGGGGGGGGGGGGGGGGGGGGGGGGGGGGGGGGGGGGGGGGGGTGGGGGGGGGGGGGGGGGGGGGGGGGGGGGGGGGGGGGGGGGGGGGGGGGGGGGGGGGGGGGAGGGGTGGGGGGGGGGGGGGGGGGGGGGGGGGGGGGGGGGGGGGGGGGGGGTGGGGGGGAGGGGGGGGGGGGGGGGGGGGGGGGGTGGGGGGGGGGGGGGGGGGGGGGGGGGTGGGGGGAGGGGGGGGGGGGGGGGGGGGGGGGGGTGGGGGGGGGGGGGGGGGGGGGGGGGGGGGGGGGGGGGGGGGGGGGGGGGGGGGGGGGGGGGGGGGGGGGGGGGGGGGGGGGGGGGGGGGGGAGGGGGGTGGGGGGGGGGGGGGGGGGGGGGGGGGGGGGGGGGGGGGGGGGGGGGGGGGGGGGGGGGGGGGGGGGGGGGGGGGGGGGGGGGGGGGGGGGGGGGGGGGGGGGGGGGGGGGGGGGGGGGGGGGGGGGGGGGGGGGGGGGGGGGTGGGGGGGGGGGAGGGGGGGGGGGGGGGGGGGGGGGTGGGGGGGGGGGGGGGTGGGGGGGGGGGGGGGGGGGGGGGGGGGGGGGGGGAGGGGGGGGGGGGGAGGGGGGGGGGGGGGGGGCGGGGGGGGGGGGTGGGGGGGGGGGGGGGGGGGGGGGGGGGGGGGGGGGGGGGGGGGGGGGGGGGGGGGGGGGGGGGGGGGGGGGGGGGGGGGGGGGGGGGGGGGGGGGGGGTGGGGGGGGGGGGGGGGGGGGGGGGGGGGGGGGGGGGGGGGGGGGGGGGGGGGGGGGGGGGGGGGTGGGGGGGGGGGGGGGGGGGGTGGGGGGGGGGGGGGTGGGGGGGGGGGGGGGGGGGGGGGGGGGGGGGGGGGGGGGGGGGGGGGGGGGGGGGGGGGGAGGGGGGGGGGGGGTGGGGGGGGGGGGGGGGGGGGTGGGGGGGGGGGGGGGGGGGGGGGGGGGTGGGGTGGGGGGGGAGGGGGGGGGGGGGGGGGGGGGGGGGGTGGGGGGGGGGGGGGGGGTGGGGGGGGGGGGGGGGGGGGGGGGGGGGGGGGGGGGGGGGGGGGGGGGGGGGGGGGGGGGGGGGGGGGGGGGGGGGTGGGGGGGTGGGGGGGGGGGGGGGGGGGGGGGGGGGGGGGGGGGGGGGGGGTGGGGGGGGGGGGGGGGGGGGGGGGGGGGGGGGGGGGGGGGGGGGGGGGGGGGGGGGGGGGGGGGGGGGGGGGGGGGGGGGGGGGGAGGGGGGGGGGGGAGAAGGGGTCGGGGTCGGAATGGGGGGGGCGAGGGGGGGGGGGGGGTCGCAGGAGAGGGTGGAGAGAGGAGGCTGGGGGGGCGGGGGCGCAGAGGGGGGAGAGGAGGTGGACGTAGGGAGTTGTGAGGTGTGGAGGGTTGGAGGCGGGGGCTGAACTAGTTGGTAGGGTTCTGGGCAGGAAAGGTGGTCGTAGTCTGGGCTCTGAGGTGCGGTTCACCCGTGGGAGCGTGGGCGTGGCCTGGTGGAGGGTGGTGCTGGGGCGCGGGTTGGGAGGGTGTGAGGTGGGGGAGGGTGGGGGTGGGGTGGTCGGGGGTGGGCTTGAGCCGTGGTAGTTGGCGGGAGAAGCGGGAAAGAGGGGCGTGCGGCGACGATGTGTTAACGGAAGAGTGCTGGGGAAGGGGGGCCGGGTGAGGGAGGGGTTAGGTGTGCGGTGAGTGGGTCGGAGGGGGCGGGTGTGGGGGAGGTGCGTTGTGTGCGTATATTGTAGTGCCGATTCTAGGGAGTGAGATGTGGGGGGGGGGTTGGTTGTTGAGGAGTGTGTAGGTCGGTGGGGGTGTGGTAGTGGTTGGGTGATGGTTGGATTGGGGTGCTATCGCGGGAGTCGCGTTATCGGTGGGAGTGTATGGGGGTGTTTGTGGGTGGAGTTGTGGATGCGTTGATGGGGGGTAATAGCGCGTTTGTGCGTGGGAGGCAGAGTCTACTGGGTAGGGAGTGGTTCGGGGGGTCGAGGGGGAATGAGTGGGGGCGGGTCTGCTGAATGTGGTATTATTGTGAGAAAGCGGAGGGGTCATCGAGCGAGTTGGAGGGTTGGTGGTGTAGGCGGGGGGTGAGTGCGGGTGGGGCAGGTGTGGGGTGCTGGGGGAACGTGCGGCGGCAATGGGAGGGGACGCGTGGAGGGGAGCGGGGTGGGGGGGGAGGGGGGTGCGCTTTCGGTGGGGGGTTGCGGGCGACCCTGGGGTGGAGATGGGGGTCGGCGGTGCGGACCGTGGTAGGGGGGGGGGTGACGGGGGGGGAGGAAATGGGGGCGGGCGCGGGGTGGGGGGTGTGGGTCATAGGGGGGCGGTGATGGGCTTAGAGGAGAGGGTGTGCGGAGAAGTTTGTGTCTTGGGGGGGAGGAAGTGGCTTTTGTGGAGATGGGAGTTGGGGGTGAGGGGGGGGGGGGGGGGGCAGAGTGGGGGGTCGGCCGGGGGGTCTAGGTGAGGTTTTGGGGTGGGCTGAGGGGGGCGGTATGAAGGAATGAGCGTGGGGCTGGGGGGGGGTGGGTCCAGGAAGGAGTGGGGGGGAGGGGTGCTGGTGGTGTGTGGGGGGGGGCGTGGTGATGGTGCAGGGGAGGCGATGGGTGAGTGGGAGGGGGGTGGTGGGTGGGTGGGTAGGGGAGTGAGGGGGGCGCGTCGGGTCTGGCTGGGGGGAAGCCCCCGTGGGGGTGTGTGGTGGGGGGGGACCGTTGGAGAGGTGTGGATGGAGGTGAGATGTGAGTGATCAGGTGACGCTGCGGTGGGGGTAGGTGTTAGGTAGCGAGGGAGGGGGTCGGAGAAGGGGGGGGTAGGAGATGGAAGGCGGTGGGCGTGGGGGGGGGACAGGCAAGTGTGGGGCGGGGGGGGACCTGGTAGTTTGGGCTTGGCGTAGGGTGTGGGGGGGGGCCGTGGTGGTGTTATTGTTTGGTTTTGTCATTATTTTGGTTTTTATGGGCTGTGGAGTATCGGTCGTTAGAGTGATGTGGGGATTGTCGGAGGTGCTGTTAGGATGTGGGCTCATGTAAAGTATGGGGTATTGGGTCTATTGGTATGTTGTTGTTAGTTGTCAGTTCGTTGGAGCAAGGTTTACCGCGAGTGGTGCGAGTGTGGTAGTTTTGTGGACCGAGTGGGAGTTGACTGAAAGGTAGGTTTTGATCGTTGGAGAGTGTGTACTACTGTTGTTGTGTGTATTATACTTAAGTGGGGGGTGATGCGTAACCATCTCGATCTTTGGGTCTTTGTATAGGAATGTAGGTTTGGTATGTGTTTGTGATGGTAGGGATAGGCGGTTTCCAAGGGTCGTTGGTGGCAGGTAGGGTGGATAAATGTGGGGTGGGTAGGTTTCAGGTTGATCAAGTGTCGTTGCGGGTTTTGTGGGTGATGTTGGAGAGTTCAGTGTGCTATTTGTTTGTGTTTTTGAAGGGTATGTGAGGGTAGTGGCCCGAGTAGGTTCGCGGTGAGGTGTGGAGGTCACTTGTTCGGAGGTGTTGGCGAGCGGAGGGGTTAGTTTGAGTGGTAAGCCAGGGGAGGTTGATGGGTCGTCGCAGTTGTGATGTTTTTGATGTTAGGAGGTGGTTTTTGTTGGTGAGGGGATGTGTATTCGGAGTGTAAGGATTGGTAGGAGTGGGTGTGCCGGAGAGTGGCCTGGGGGGGTACGAGGGTGGGAGTGACTGGGTGAGATTGTGTGGGGCCAAGGAGGCCCGTGTCTTTGTGGGTGACACCGACTGGGAGGTACTAGTGGCAGTGGTGGTGGGGTGGTGGGATCGGAGTGAGGGGGATGAGGGGGGTTAGTGATGGTCCGGAGGGGTAAGTGTCTAAAGTACCTCGCCGGGGTGGGTGAGTAGCGTGGGGGGGGTTGGTGGTGGAGGTTGTGGAGTGTTGGGTTGTGAGGGTGTGATGCGTGGGGGGGAGGGGGGGGAAGCTGTGTGGGGGCGGGGAGGAGGGGGTACCACACCTGGGTGGTGTGGGGGGGAGGGGGGGGAGTGGGGGGGGGAGCGGGAGCGGGGTGGGGATGGGTGGGGCGGGGGGGACGTGGGTGGGGGGGGTTGCGGGGGGTGGGGGGGGGGGGATGGGGCGGGATGTGGGCAGGCGGGGGGGGGGGAGGTGGTGGGGGGGCTGGGGTGTGGGGGAGGCAGGGGGCCTGGGTCCGAGGGGGGGGGGGGGTGGGGGTGTGGGGGGGGAGGGTGGGGGGCGTGGGGGGGGTGGGGGGGGGGGGCGACGGTGGGGGGGGGCGCGGGTCGGGGGGGCAGGGGTGGGGGGGGGGGGGGGGGGGGGGGGGGGTGGGGGGGGGGGTGGGGGGGGGGGGGGGGGGGGGGTGGGGGGGGGGGGGGGGGGGGGGGGGAGGGGGGGGGGGGGGGGGGGGGGGGGGGGGGGGGGGGGGGGGGGGGGGGGGGGGGGGGGTGGGGGGGGGGGGGGGGGGGGGGGGGGTGGGGGGGGGGGGGGGGGGGGGGGGTGGGGGGGGGGGGTGGGGGGGGGGAGGGGGGGGGGGGGGGGGGGGGGTGGGGGGGGGGGGGGGGGGGGGGGGGGGGGGGGGGGGGTGGGGGGGGGGGGGGGGGGGGGGGTGGGGGGGGGGGGGGGGGGGGGGGGGGGGGGGGGGGGGGGGGGGGGGGGGGGGAGGGGGGGGGGGGGGGGGGGGGGGGGGGGGGGGGGGGGGGGGGGGGGGGGGGGGGGGAGGGGGGGGGGGGGGGGGGGGGGGGGGGGGGGGGGGGGGGGGGGGTGGGGGGGGGGGGGGGGGGGGGGGGGGGGGTGGGGGGGGGGGGGGGGGGGGGAGGGGGGGGGGGGGGGGGGGGGGGGGGGGGGGGGGGGGGGGGGGGGGGGGGGGGGGGGGGGGAGGGGGGGGGGGGGGGGGGGGGGGGGGGGGGGGGGGGGGGGGGGGGGGGGGGGGGGGGGGGGGGGGGCGGGGCGGGGGGGGGGGGGGGGGGGGCCGTGGATGTGGGCGGGGGGAGGCTGAGGGCCTTTGGTGCCTCATAGGTGGGGGGGTGGATTTAGGTTGGCTGATGATAGCGTAGTGTCACAGGGCCGTATGAGGATTGAGGTGTGGGGGTATGAGGGGAGGTGGTCGTGTGAGAAAAAGAGGTTTGGTTGGGAGTGTCAGTTGCGAATGGATGTAGCCTTGTTGCAATGGAGGGGGGCAGGGGGTGTGGACGTTTCGGAGAAGTTGCTGTCGGGGGGGAGGAGGGGGTGAGTAGGGAGGTGGTGTGGGTGGAGATGGTGGGCAATTGTAGAGTTGGTGTATGGGGGCGGAGTTGCGTGTAGGTGGGGGGTAGGGTACGTGTTAGGGAGGAGAAATTTTAGAGCGCGGAATGTGGGTTAATATGAGCGGCTCTGAGGGGGGATGGGGCAGGGACCGGGGTGTTGTGGGGGGAATTGTGCAGCGAGGTTGCTGGTCGGTGTTAGTGAGTGGAAGAGGGAGGGAGGGACGTGTGGGGCGGGGACTAGCAGACTCTTGTGGGAGGAGTAGGGGGAGGTGGGGGGGAGGGTGCGGAGGGCATGGCGGAATAGTGAGGGGTGGGGGCGGTGTTTGTCACTCTGTGGGGGGCGGCCGGCTGGGGAAGTTTGGTGGAGGAGAACCGCATGAGATAGATATAGCGCGCCGTGGGCGGTGGGGAGGAGTTGGATGGATTGGTGTGGTCTGGGGTTGTGGGGGGGGATTACTGGGAGGGCGAGTGTGGTTACGGGGGAGGACGGGTCGTGGTGGGGCGTGGGTAGGAATATGAAGGGGGGGAAGAAGGCGGGCTAGGGGTGCAGGAGGGGAGCGGGGAAGGGGGTATTCTCCCGTGGTGGGGGGGAAGTGGAAGGGAGGGGGTGGGTGGGGAGGTGGTAGGGGGTGGGTGCGGGAGGGGGCTGGGGGGAAAAGAGGGGGAGGGTCATGGTGCGGTGGAGGAGTGCGTTCCGTAGTGGGTTCGGTGCATGGCGCATAGCCACCCAATGAAGTTGTCCCTCTGTAGGCGCAGGCGTCCTGTGGCTTGCCACAGTGACAGGCAAATCCGAAACCGGATGCCGCCAACCATGTATGTATGTGTGCCCCATGCTGAGGCTGATGTTGCATTCTTGATGCTTCTTCACCGCAGTTGGGCTAAACCAACTTACACTTAAACTAGGTCTTTTTAAGCTGGATAAATTTCATTCCGCTTTATTTGGTTTGTTCTGCCTACCTGAATAATGTTCTATTAACTGGCCACGTTGCTTACGCTAATTGCGCTTATCTTCGGTAATTTTGTTGCGTTTGTAGCATTTTTAAGTAACTTGTGGACATTTCTTACTTATCACGGATTCGTTGCTAACCAACTTACTTCATATGGTAATTTAGCGAAGAGTTATGCCACCGTATCTGTATGCATTATTGGATTTATTTTATTTCATCTTGTCGTTTCAAGTGAATGGCTGTTGTTTGATATCCCGGTGTGGCTGCGCTTGATGTGCATGTTGACAAGGTGCCTACCTGTCTATTACCCACTACCTCGTTCATACTGGCTCCAGGAGACAGTTGGTCGTTGCTGGAGGGGACGGGGTGCACGGTCCTTGTGGCCGTGCTAGGCTCGAAGAGTGGTTCCATGCACTCAGTGTGGAGCGGACTACGGTCCAGCCACCGCCTTGTGTGCGCTTGATTCCCCAAATACAGCGTGCTTGTGTTTGCCTGTGAAGGAGTGTGGGCCGGCTCCGTTGATGAAACGTGGCTCCCATCCGCATGCCTCCCGGTCTTATTCCTTCGGGTTTACACTGGATATGGGGTGTGTGGTTGGAGCTGTGGGTGGTGCAGCGCAAGCCATCCATGGTCCCTCTGTAGGCGCAGGCGTCCTGTGGCTGGCCAACCATGAAAGCAAATCCGAAACCGGATGCGCCACACTTTCTTATATTTATATTATTTATATTTATATATATTTATATATATATATATACTATCATATATATTATATATTTATCTATTGGTTTGTCTGACATCCGGTCTATACGCCGATTTGCTGTCCGCCTGTTGGCACAGACAAGGGCGCCGCATGCCTACATTAGGGACTATGGGTGGCTTGCGCTGCACCACCCACAGCTCCAACCACACACCCCATATCCAGTGTAAACCCGAAGAAATAAGACCGGGAGGCATGTGGATGGGATCCACGTTTTATCAACGGAGCCGGCCCACACTCCTTCACAAGCAAACACAAGCACGCTGTATTTGGGAAATCAAGCGAACACAAGGCGGTGGCTGGACCGTAGTCCGCTCCACACAGAGTGCATGGAACCACTCTTCGAGCCTAGCACGGCCACAAGGACCGTGTACCCCGTCCCCTCCAGCAACGACCAATTGTCTGCTGGAGCCAGATGGACGAGGTAGGGGGTAATAGACAGGTAGGCACCTTGTCAACATGCACATCAAGCGCAGCCACACTGGGAATATCAAAAAACAGCCAATCACTTGAAACGACAAGATGAAAGAAAATAAACCCAATACTGCATACAGGTACGGTGGCATAACTATTCGCTAAATTAGCGTATGAAGTAAGTGGGTTAGCAACGAACCCTCGATAACGAAAAATTGCCCACAACTTACTTAAAAATGCTCCAGACGCAACAAAGTTACCGAAGATTAGCGCAATTAGCGTTAGCAACATGGCCAGTTAATAGATTATTCAGGTAGACAGAGCAAACCAAATAAAGTGGAATGAAATTTATCCAGCTTAAAAAGACCTAGTTTAAGTGTAAGTTGGTTTAGCCCAACTGCGGTGAAGAAGCATCAAGAATGCAACATCAGCCTCAGCATGGGGCACACTTACATACATGGCTGGCGGCATCCGGTTTCGGATTTGTCTGTCACTGTGGCCAGCCACAGGACGCATGCGCCTACAGAGGGACCATGGGTGGCTTGCGCAGCACCGCCCACGGCTCCAACCACACACCCCATATCTAGTGTAAACCCGAAGGAATAAGACCAGGAGGCATGTGGATGGGATCCACGTTTCATCAAAGGAGCCGGCCCACACTCCTTCACAGGCAAACACAAGCTGGTGTAGGTATCATTTTCAGCTCCAAGGCTGAGTCATCGTTGGTTGATTGGATTCCGGTGAACAGCCGTTTATGTGCAGCCCGTTTGACGACATCAGCTAAGGTGAATTCGCGAAGTAAAACAAAACGCTGTTTGTTTTCGATTTCCGTTTATGCTCCCACCGACTGCAGTTTAAATACTGTCAAGGACACTATCTATCACGAACTGAACGCGCTACTACGCAGTGCTACTAGTTCAGATATTATAGTACTTGCAGGGGATATGAACGCACAAGTAGGGCGTCTGAGCTCTTCAGAAGCTCAGCTGAGTGGTAAGTATGGACTTAACTCCGAACGGACTGACAACGGCGAGCGTCTGCTGCAACTGTGTGCGGAGCATCAGTTGATTCTTACTAGCACTGCTTTTAGACACAGTGGGCGCCGAAGTGCCACTTGGCGTCAACCTGTAGCCGGCCAGCGATGGACCCAAATTGACTACATAACCATAAGTTACAGGTGGCGCGGTTCCATCCTGGATTGCCGCTCGTACTGGAGTACTTCTGTCGACTCTGATCATGCCTTGGTGCGCTGTCGTTTCTCCATGAACTTTACCGGAAGGCGCACCAAGCGTCTCCCCCGATTGGTAACGGAGAAACTGTCCCAACCCTCCGTCAGGCAAGCCTATCAAGAAGCACTGCATAGCGAACTCTCGCTGTCTTGTCCTAATGACACTGAACTTCAGTGGAATAGGATCTCGGCCGCCATGCACGACGCAGGAGCATCTGTTTGTGGCACCATCAGTCGTCACCGCACCAGTCACTGGATATCCGAGAGGTCCGTGAACCTGTTGGAAGCTAGAAGGCACCTCCCGGCTGTCTCTGAACACAATGTGACCAGACGGTCTATTAGGCGTGAACTAAAGCGGAGCCTACGTGCTGACAAGGAAGCCTGGCGGACCAGTCGGGCTCAAGAAATGGAGGAGGCAGGAGCAGTAGGCAATTACCGCAAGCTCTTCCAGCTAATCCGCACCACTGGTCCCAGAAAACCAGGCGTCAGTGAGACAATCAGAGACAGCGCGGGTGCGCTGATACACAATAAGGAGCGCCGTATGGCTCGTTGGGCTGAACACTTTGAAGATCAGTTCGGCTGGCCCCCTGCTCCCGGACCTCTTCCTACTCAGGTGATGCAGGACGTGCCGTGGACGGTTAGTTTAGAGCCTCCGTCAGAGGCCGAGGTCCGAAACGCGATCACAGCCCTCAATCGTTTTCGTGCCGCTGGCCCGGATTCCCTACCACCTGCACTATTTAAGGATGGAGGTGAGGTCCTCTGCAGGGCACTGACCTCCCTATTTGAACGTATCTGGAACGAAGAGAGTGTGCCGGCTAATTGGAGCGAATCGATTATACTGGCAATATACAAGAAGGGCAGTCGCACAGACTGTGCGAACCACAGGGGTATTAGCCTAACGCCAGTTGTGACAAAATTACTGGCCTCGATTATCATTCGTCGCCTCACTGTGGAACGGGAATCTCGGATTAGGGAAGAGCAGGCCGGTTTTCGCCCAGGACGTGGCTGTATAGACCATATATTTACTTTGCGGCAGGTGCTAGAGCAGCGCCACGCATACCGCAGACCGACAATAGCTGTGTTCCTCGATTTCAAGAGTGCGTTCGATTCAGTCGAACGATCTATTCTGTTCGAATTACTTGCGCGAAAAGTTGTTCCCACGAAATAGGTGAACATCCTTCGTGCTCTATACTCGAACACTACAGGCCGCGTCAGGGTCTATGGTGTCCTATCGGATAGCTTTTCGACTACAAGTGGCGTTCAGGGTTGTCCGATTTCCCCATTTTTGTTCAATTTCGTCGTGGATTCTATCATGGAGTGTTCCCTTGCGGAATCTCATGATGTAGGCGTTGAAGTGCTGCCTGGTGAAAAGTTACTTGATCTAGATTATGCGGACGATATCGTCCTGCTTTTCGACGATGTTGCGG